TGGGTTCCTCGCTGCCTTGAGTACCTGTTCAAGGTCTGCATCCTTGTTTGCAGGGATGTCCGGGAGGGAGAAGATGGGCCTGCTCCACTCAGGGCTTACCCCTGGCTGTTGGACAGTACCTGGCATCAGGGGCCACTGTCACTGAACATGTCCCCAGAGATGGAGCACATGACCCTGCATGATGAAGGCGGCCCCATTGTGGCCTCCAGCCCTGTCCCCTCCCCTGGTCCCCAGAGAGCAGTGCCTGGTCTGCCTCAGTAACAGCGGGCCTGTTTGGCCTGACTCAAGTTCAGGAAAGCCAGAGGGTTTTATGAAGTTGCGTGTGTCTAAGGCATGAATATCATTTGCCAGTATCCGCAGTGAGAGCTCATCATCGGTCAGCATGGCCTGGGGGCAGAACCAAATTTCATTGCTTGGATTCATGGTAAGGGGAAAATATGTATGTCAAGACGTGATTTATTTGCATTTCTCTCCAACTCTCGTGACTTCTAAGAAATCCTGTTTGGACAGTTTCATGACTTGGAAGTGGCACTGAGACTCCCTTCCCTGCCTAGGTCCCGGAGTCAGGAATGATGAATAGAAGGCAGGAGGGAAGCTGTGTTTATCTGACTAAAGGCTCCAGGTTCCCAAGCAACGAGGAGAGCAGGTTGATCAAATCCCTCCCATCTGCTGGGGGCGAAACCTTTTGCTGACAGGTGGCCCCACTGTCCTTATTAATAGAGTCTGGGGTCAGAAACTGGCTTCCCGGAATATTCTCAGGGCAAGCTCTACTCAAAGTTCAAAGCCAACTAAGCATGTTTAAAACTTGACAATGAATTAAAATGGAAAATCAAGAACACTTTGTTTTAAAATTTTGAGCTAAAAGGGAAAAGCATTGGGGCCCCGGGATGGCTCAGTCGGTTAAGCGTCCGACTTTGGCTCAGGTCATGATCTCATAGTTCGTGGGTTTGAGCCCCGTGTCAGGCTCTGTGCTGACAGCTAGCTCAGAGCCTGGAGCCTGTTTCAAATTCTGTACCTCCCTCTCTCTCTGCCCCTCCCCTGTTCACGCTGTCTCTCTCTCTCTCTCAGAAATAAATAAAAACATTTAAAAAATTAAAAAATAAATAAAAGGGGAAGGCATTAAAGTTTTAAAATCTTGAATTAAGAATAGATCATTTCTGGGGCTCCTGGATGGTCAGTTGAGTGTTCCACTTTGGCTCAAGTCATGATCTTGCGGTTCGTGAGTTCGAGCCCCACGTCGGGCTCTATGCTGACAGCTCAGAGCCTGGAGTTGCTTCAGATTCTGTGTCTCCCAATCTCTGTCCTTCCCCTGCTCATACTATCTCTCTGTCTCTCAAAAAAAAAAAAAAAAAATGAAGAAATGTTTAAAAAAATTTTTTTAAAAGAATAGGTCATTTCTGGTGTGGTAACCATAGTATCCAAACTTCAACAACTGAAGGTGCATCAGACTTAGGAAGAAACAAGAGCTTTTGTTCTCACTGAAGGCTTGCTCCGCCAGTTCGGGGAATCCCCCAGGAAACTGGCCTTGACCGTTTCCTCTCCTTTCCCTGTGATTGTGGGAGACAGGGAATGAAATTAGGGAAGCAATTGGCCATTGCTTGTGCCTCAGCACCTTTAGGCACTCACTGCCATGTGTGCAGAAAGAACACAATTTACACTTCCAACAGCCATCAGACACCAACAGCCTGATCCTTACAAATGTCACAGGCAATGAAATACGCCACGCAAACATCATGATTGATACGGGTCTCAGAATTCTAACCCACACTCCTTCAGACTTCCTCCAATCCATGGGAAAGCTCTGACATATCTAATGTCAGGAGGATTCTGGCTTGCTTATCACGTCTAGGGTCAAAACATCACAGGTTGTGACTGCATAAAATACACTTCTGTTCCAGATTTTTCCAGCCTCTGGAATACCAAATAACCTTATGGGTAAAATAAAATGATCTTAAAGATGTCATTCTTCATCCAATCTTGGAATATGCATTTCTGGTCATGGCTTCAATATGGCAGGCACATTGTTAGGGACATGACAATGCCCTAGAGAAATAACGCGGTGGAAATGAGTTTACATTCAAGGGAAGATGAGCTGATCCTGTTCCCTCATCCCTATAACAAAATACATCTGATGCTTTAGATCTCCCAAGAAACAGAACTCAATTATGCACATTGGTGTCGTTTTACTCAACTGCCTAATTACATTTACTTCCTTTACACAGTTAAGTTGGGGAGTCGAGAGGGCACTCAGGTGGGAGGCAGGAGGGACGGGGTCCTGTGTGAGCCCAGCACCTGCTGAGGTTCATGAACAAGGGGTAGCCACGGAGCCTCTCTGGGCCTTTGCTTCCTCACCGGTAATAAGAAGAGTAATAAGACTTCCAAGATGTACCTCAACTTGCTTCTTTATGGTCTAGGCCAGGTTGGAACAAGAGAGACAATGAGATAAAAAGATCCCATTGGATGCTCAATATGCAGACACATTAGTGAAATATGATTATTCAAATGGAGGTTGACCAGTTGTCCCCAGCTGCACCCCACCCCCTTCCAGGTCCCAGCAGCTTCTGCCGGTTAGAATGTTTCAAACAGAAAGAATCCCACAAAAGGACTAGCCCTATGCAGAATTCCGCAGGCACCGAGGGTGATTCTGCCTCTGGTGGGTCCATCCTTCCGTGGCTGACTCTCCCTGGGCTTTCCCTCCTGCAGCCCCCGCGATCCAGGCGGATGCATCTGCGTTGTGGGCAGTCCTCTGTGCCCATTCTTCCTTCAGCCCCAGGTATCTGGTGTTCACCATGCTGCTGGGACCCCTGTGTGTGGCCTCTTGGACAAGACCAAGGCGACCCACACAGTTCTGGCTTCAGGAAGGCCCACACCAGGTCGCGGGTGACGTCTGCGCTCCTCACCTGAGCTTGTCTGGGAGCACGGTCAGTCCCAGCCTGGCCTCTCTGACAGCCAAGGGCTCTCAGGGCTTTCCCGGCCAAGGAGCCCAAGCACCAAGTCCACCCAGCTGCACAGAACACACTTCAGATGTGTCCCTGTCACTGTGGGTGAGTCGTCCCCTCCTCACTTAAGGCAAGGATGGTGGGTGGGATGAAGGGGGAAAGACACTCATAAAACACTAGGGTTCTCTTGTCACACATTTCTTTCTCTCCATCTGATCCCTCTGTACGTTCTTAACCCTAGACGTGTGCTTAGGAATCAGGAAGCACTGGGGCCCCTGGGCGACTCATCGGTTAAGCATCTGACTCTTGACTGTGGCTCGGGTCATGATCTCACAGTTCGTGAGACTGAGCCCCATGACAGGCTCTGCGCTGAACCTGCCTGGGATTCTCTCTCTCCCTCTCTCTGCCCCTCCCCAACTCATGCTCTGTCTGTCTGTCTCTCTCTCTCTTTCTCAAAAATAAACATTTTAAAAATTAATAAACAGGGGCGCCTGGGTGGCTTAGTCGGTTAAGCGTCCGACTTTCGCTTAGGTCATGATCTCGCGGTTCGTGGGTTCGAGCCCCGCGTCGGGCTCTGTGCTGACTGCCAGCTCAGAGCCTGGAGCCTGTTTCAGTCTGTGACTCCCTCTCTCTCTGACCCTCCCCTGCTCATGCTGTCTCTCTCTCTCTCTCCTAGAAATAAATAAAAACCTTAAAAAAATTTTTTTTTAAATTAATAAACAAAGAATTGTGAAGCATAGTTCTAGAAAACTTTTTTTTGTAAATTTAGTCTGCCAAGAGGTGGTGTGAGATCCCATTTGGTAAATATCTATCACATTGGGACCTTCATCGAATTTTAATTTAACCACCTGGTTTATCTACCTGAGGGAAATGCATCATTAGCTTGGGAGGCAGGCGCTGCGGCAGGCAGTGTGGACCGCCTCTCCACATCCCTCCCCACACCGGTTCTCGCCAGGCAGAGTTCCCATTTTATTCAGAGAGCTCCCTGACGCCTCAGAGAGCCCAGGGAAGGAGCACTCCTCTAGACAGGAAGGAGACCACCACCCCGGATCTCAACGCTGTGTCTCTCTTTGGATCTGATTCTAGGCTGGGATGCAGGCTAGAATCAGTGAGATTGAGGAAGAATCCAGCAGGGGCTTTGGAAAAGATCTTCCTTGCTCTGAAAGAGCCCAGCAGGATAAGCATATCCATCCATGTGATGGAATATTATTTGGCCATGAGAAGAAGCGAGGCAGCTATAACCTGAGTGAACCTTGACAGCATGATGCTGAGCGAAGAAAGCCAGACACGAAAGCCCCAGATGATTCCATTTGCATGAAAGTAAACTTTCTTCTAGACACAGAAAGCAGATCAGTGGTTGCCAGAGCTGAGAAGGAAGGGGGAACCAGGAGTGGCTGCTAACAAGTTGCCATTTGGGGTGACAAAGACTTACTGGAACGAAACAGGTGACAACAGACAACGTCGCGAATGATCTAATGCTACCGAATTATACGCCCTAAAATGGTTTAAATGGTGAATTCTGCGCTACGTGTATTTTCTTGCAAATGGGGGGCGTGAGGGAGACCAAGAAAGAGTAGGTGTTTTTCTGTGCTCTCACCAGAGAGAGGACAGTCAGGGGACCCCGGGGCTGGGCTGGGGTCAGAGAGGGGACCTCACGTCTGTCTGAGCCCCCACACTCAATCACCGAGCGTCCTACCCTGTGGGTTTCTCACTAAGGAAGGTTTTTTATTTCAACGTGTCCTGGGAGAGCAGACCTTGAACAAGCATGATCTCTGCTCAGAGCTACACCATTTCCTTTCCAGCTAACTGCTGAGCCGCAGGACGCCGCCTTGCCCAAAACGTTCCCTAAGTTCCCAAAGGACAAGCGACTTCTTTCCTGCCACCCCTCTAGGCAGCGGCCCCAAATAAAATTACTTCCATGACATTTAAATTTAGAAATCGAAATGAAGTTTGCAGCTTAGGGTGGGAATCCTCCACCAGGCAAAGAAGACAGACCTGGCCCCGGGGCAGGGAATTTGCAGGAATCGCTCTACAAGCCCAGCAGTGATGGGGGAAGACAAGGGAGCAAAGTCTGAGGGCAGGTGATAAGAGCCGCGGGACCCGGGGGACTCGGAGCAGACGGCTCCTCCCGGAAGAGCCCGGAAATCAGCTCCTTGGGAAACAGGTATGATGACCAGGTGATACAATTTCTGCAGATTTTATTTTCTTCTCTAGATTTCTTTCTGATCTCGTATGTCCCTCAATAAACATGGATTGTTTTCAAAATGGGGGGGAACCCTTACTTTTTAACATTTCTTAAAATGTTTATTTATTTATTTTTGAGAGACAGGCAAGCAGAGAGCGAGCAGGGGAGGGGCAGAGAGAGAGGGAGACAGAGAATCCTAAGCAGCTCCAGGCTCCGAGCTGTCAGCACAGAGCCCGACATGGGGCTCGAACTCATAAACTGTGAGATCATGACCAGGGCCGAAGTCAGAGGCTCAACCGACTGAGCCACTCAGGTGCCCCCCCAAACATGTTTTTAATTGATATTGTCTACAAGTGCATGTGAAAATAAGTTTTGAAGGCAAAGTTCTTCCACCGAGTCTTGCATTTAATTTTTTTTTTTTTTTTAAGCACATCTTACTAAGTTCAGCCTATTACGGAAGTGCTTCTCTGGAGCACCAGCCCGGTGGCAAAGTCATTGTCTTTATTCTGTGCTCCCAGGTTAGTGCAGGCGGCTTCCCCTAGGCGGCTCTGACCCAGCTCACCGCCCAAAGGCTTATTGAAACAGTCAAGAAACATTTACTTTATCTGAACTGATGGTGTTCAGCCCGTTGAACAAAGTTGGGGGAAACATGTTTTGGAGTTTGATGTTTAAACAAAACCATAACACTATTGGGTGGTGAAGGGGGGTGTTGCCCTTGAATTTTCTTTCAAAGTACCCGAAATTTGAGGTGTTTCCTGTGCTAATATGGTCACAGAAATTCAGGGTGGGCAAATATTCTTCAGACCTCATGACGGCCTCTGTGCCAATCACAGAGCAGAAGAGAGAAGCACAAGACGATTTCGGACGCGGAGGCGCTCACATCCAGCGTTTTGCTTCGCCAGGAAATGCCTTCCTCAAGTTTACTGTAAACAAAAATGCCAGCCACACCCTGAGTAACGATCACTCGAGCTTTGCCTCCACTCCCTGCATGGGAGAGAGAGTCCCTTTCTGTTTACCAAGTATTTTAAGCCTCCTTTAAAACTTGAGAATGTACCGAGTTTCATAGATGGTCAGAGCCACTGGTGTGAGTAGAGCACATTGTGTATGAGAATACTAAGCACACGAATAATGGGGACGATCGTGGTAACAGAGCTGATGCGTGAGACCGGCATCAGGTGTGACCTTCCTCTGTATCTGCTCCCAGGACGGAGTCATGGGGGAGGGGGCACTGGCCGGATCCCAGCCACCCACCTCGTCAGCCACGTTGCACCTTAAATAAACAGAGTATGTATGTGGTGTGTGTGGGTGTGCGCGCGCATATATAAATCTCAAAGTTTTTGATTTCAAAGCTGAGAGCCTGACCCCTCCCCCACGGTCATTAACTCTTACCACACACTGTGTCTTCGTGGACCCTGTTTCTAAAGCAGGAAAAGGGGGTCCCTGGCCCCAGGCAGGCACTTCTGAGTGAGCTGCTCCAGTCAGGTGTTTTCCCAGCAGTCAGCTGGCCGTTTGCAGCAAACTACGAGGCCCTTTACCCTCTCTGGTGGATTATGTCCCCCAAAATGATAGTCCAAGTCTTAGCTCCCAGGAGCTGCCGATGCGAACTTGTTTGGAAATAGTGTCTTTTTAGATGTCGTAAAGCTAAGGATCTCAAGATGAGCCCTAACTCCCATGACAGGTGTGCACCTACAAGGACGGAGAGAAGACTCCAGACACGGAGACGGGACACACAGGGAGAGGGACAGGAGAGGCAGAGGCGGAGACCGAGAGATGCGTCTGCACCAAGGACTGGCGACGGGCGCAGAAGCTGGGGGAGAAGTCTGCAGAGAGTCTTCCCCCAGAGCCTCCGGAAGGAACCAACCTTGGCAGCACCTTGACCTTGAATTTCTGGCTCCAGAGCAGAGAGAGAACAAATTTCTGCTGTTTTAAGCCACAGAGCTTGCGGTGAGCTATTTGATGCAGCTCTAAAACATTAATATATTCTTCTGACCTAGAACCTGGCGGTTCAGCCAGTCTCCAAACTCTGACTTATTCTGCCTCCTTTGAGCTCCCAGCGCTCAGCCCGACTCATTCCAGACTTTTCTACTTGGTTTCTCCTGCCCACCCATCGGAGCCCTGGCTGCCCCCGAATTACAGGGAGAGTTTTTCAGCAATAGAGAGACCAGGGCCCCACCAAAGATCGAACATCAATGAAGTAAGACTGTCTTGGAGGTAGAGGGGAGGGTGGTGAGGCTCGAACATCTGAATTTTTTTTTAATATTTTTATTTATTTTTAGGAGAGCGAGAGAGACAGCGTGAGCAGGGGAGGGTCAGAAAGAGAGAGAGTCACAGACTCTGAAATAGGCTTCAGGCTCTGAGCTGGCAGTCAGCACAGAGCCCGACGCGGGGCTCGAACCAATGAACTGCAAGATCATGACCTAAGCGGAAGTCGGACGCTTAACCGACTAAGCCACCCAGGCGCCCCCATCTGAATTTTTTTAACCACCTCCAGGGGGTAATGTGTAGCCAAAGTACAGGATGCAGCACTAGCCGTGGGGGCTTCAGCTGGGGCCACCCCCCTTCCCCCCCTACACGCTGTCCACTGAAGTCTCCTCCACAACCACACTGATAGGGCTCCCTGCGCCGCGTGCCTCGAATTTGAGGTTTTATGAGAATTTCCTGGGTAGGCTGCCAAAGCGCAAATTCCTTGGACCCCACCCAAAAGGAGGAGTCTGTAAATCCTGGGGAGGTCCCAGGACAGGAGTCCTTAGAAGCATGAACTTTATTGTGCATTGGAATCCCCTGGGGAGGATTAAAAAAAAAAAAAAAAAAAGTCAAACCACATCCTCAGACCAACTGAATCAAAACTTCTGGGGGAAGCACAGTGGCATCAGAATTTTTAAAATTTCCCAGCTGATGCCAACACTAAAACACTGTTTCAAGAAGTACCTATGACATGCCAGCAACAAGGATGAGTAAAATAAATGATTCGTGCCCTCCTGGAGGGTGTTATCCAGTAGGGGAGGCAAATATTCATCATTTATATACACAAATAAATATCTAATTCTAAACCAGGCTGGGTACCATGACGGTAAAGAATCTAGTACTTTCAGAAAGACCCGTGTGGGATCAGAAACTGCCCCTCTGAGCAGGCGTAGGAGATGACAAGAGGCGGTGGGGGCTGGAACATCCCAAGTAGAGACGGGATGCAAAGGGTCACGTGCAAAGGCCCTGGGGCAGGAGAAAAATGATACATTTGAGAAATGAGAAGAAAGCGTGTGGCTGAGAGGCAGTTAACGATGTAAAGGAATGCAGGGGCCTTTTGTCGAGAAGGGAGAAAAGCAGAGCACGAGCAGGATGGAAGTGTGGAAGGCGGAGGCGGACCCAGCCAGCTTTGTTGGATGTGTAGGTTTGAGATGTGCAGGAGTTACCCACAGTGCGATGACAAGCAAATGGCTCCATACACTAGTCTGCACCGGGCTTGCGGACCCACATCTAGCAGTCCTGGCGTTTAGAAGATGCTGCAGCCACGGCCCGTATCGGCTCACTTGAGAATCATCCTTGACGGCCCCCTCCACCCGCCTCCCGGGTCCACCCCCTCGTCTCGGTCAGTGGCCAGCACATCTGCACCCGGCGTCAAATTCGAGGCTCCAGCGTCTCTCCCCCCTGATCTGTCCCTTAACCCCCTCCAGAGCAAGCTGATCCGATCATTCCTCTCTCTTGTTCACGTCTTTTCCGTAACTCAGAGTCACCAAGGGGACAAAATAGGACATCCCTGGTATGATGGTCTAAGCCCATCACCTGGCCTCTGCCGGCCTGTCCAGCCTCTGTTGGACCCTGCCTCCAGCTGTTCCCCGACCTCACTGAGTCACCAGCTGTCCCTGGCTACAGGGTACAGGGTACAGTCCCTGAGAGCCATCAGCAGCCTCGTTCCCCACCAGGAGAGGAAAGCCCATCTCCAGTGCGGAGAACTGAGGCTGACGTGAGCCCAGAGAGACAGGAGGAGAATATTCCGGCAGACTCACTGAGGCCCAGCCCAGGCGTGTGCGACGCCGTACGAGCCTGCCAAGCTTCTCTGCTCAGATCTGAGCCACTTTGGATTGGAGAGCTCTCCTTCCCGACCTCAACATGTGAACCGTGCAGTGCTGGTGAGGAGAGTGGCCGGGAGGTTTGGGGACAGGTGAGAGTCAGCACGGTCCCTGCAGATGAGAGTTCAGGCTAGGACAGTCACAGCACCCAGGAGAGGGACTGAGGCAGCCACTCGGCATCTGGGATCCCAGAGCTTCTGAGCCCTCTGTTCCCCAAAGCTGGGGCTGCTTGTCTGCCTGTCTGGCGAGGACTTCCTGGTGGCTTGAGGTCCTGGGCAGCCCAGTGGTGGATGTGTTCCAAAAAGACAATAGAGACAAGGGCGTGGAATGCTCAACCCCCACCCTCCCAGACACAGTCATCTTTGTGCCCAGAATGTACCCTCGAGTGGCCTTTGGGACTTTCCATCTGCTTTCCCCACCCCCATAATTTTGCAGACTCAAAACCGCCTGCTTCAGTCCCTGGTAAGTGACGCCCATGGTGACCCTGCACAGCTCCCCTCGGATCCTGTCCTCCTGGCTGAGCAGCAACCCATGCTTGCGGGCCACCCCTTGGCTCAGGATGGAGGGCAGAGAGGATGGGGGTGGGCAGAGCTTTATGCCTGACTGTGCCCATGGCCCAAGGGTCTGTTCCCACACCCTGAGTGCAGAGACCAAGCATCCAGGAGCTTTCTCCAGCCACTCCAGGGCCGGCCTGCCCTCCCAATGCCTTCCAGAACCTAGTCCAATTCCTGCCCATGGAACACATCTGAGCGCCCCAAAAGGAAATCGACTCCAGGAGATGTGAGTTGTACAATCCCTGCTGCACGGTTGGGGGCCTCGCTGGCCTGAGTAGTGCAGAAGCTCCCGCCTCCGTGCCCGGCGTGCCCGAGTGTGGAGACGCAGAGCTGATGGTGCAGCTTCCTGCTGCTTTCCCTTGAGCACCACTTCCGAGCAATGACTAGAAGAAAGCTCCAAGCTCAGTGCTAAAATTAGACATAGCCACTTTTAATTAAGTCTAGATTTTGGCAAAGAAGTCATTCCGACTCCCAGTCGATCTCTGAGAGTAAATCAAGAAGTCACCAAAGGCATGTGACTCCTTGACCAGACTAGAGGGGTCACCGCCCGTGTCTGTAGCATCGTCGCTGGGCCAGCTGGTTTTTCCCAACCAAACACCCACACCACAACTTAATGATTAGCCATTATTCTTCCTTTCCTCCCTTCTAACCACCCCTGCTTTTAGCAAAGTCCAGACTCATTCCACAGATGCTTATGTGAGAGGAAATCTACATTAAAGCCAGACGAGAAAAATATGCCTGAAAGAGGAAGAAATAATTTAGCGCAATAATTGAAGGCTTACATGCACATGGACTGACATTAGTTTGTACCTAGAAATTATAATGTACCGACGATAACCACATGGGAATTCCCTAAACGAGGCCATGTAGCCACAGCATGTGAACAGAGCAAAACCATGTCGTAACATGGAATCTGCTTCGAGGTACAGAATAAATTACATGGGTTTGCCTGGCACTTCCAGGCTTTCCTAATAATGAGCTCTCACTGCATACATTTACGCTTTTGTGTTGTCAGTTGACTTCCTCAAAAATGTTTGTTATTGTCATAATTTAAGTCAAGACCATCAAACTGGGCTGTAGAAAAGCCCAGCACTGTAAATGAGGAAAAGAGACAATATGTACTAGCCTCAGAGATCTCTATTAAGAACCAAACAAATCGGGGCGCCTCACTGTTGAGCAACTGACTCTTGATTTTGGCTCACGTCATGATCTTGTGTTTGTGAGATTGAGCTCTGCATCAGGCTCTGTACTGACCATGTGGGGCCTGCTTGGGATTATCTCTCTCCCTCTCTCTCTATCCTTCCCTGGCTCATGTTCTCTCTCTCTCTATCTCTCTGTCTCTCTCTCAAAATAAATAAACTTAGAAAATGTTTTAAAAAGAATCAAAGAAATCATAACCAAAGTTACCTAATTAAAATCACATCCTTATACTAGCAAATCGAATTTAACAGTATATTAAAAGAATTATTCACCATGATCAAATGGGATTCATTCCTGGGCTGCAGGACTGGTCCAATATTTGCAAATCAATCAATGTGATGCATCACATTAATAGAAGAAGGATAAGAGCCATATGATCCTGTCAATAGATACAGAAAAAACATTTGACAAAATATAGCCTCCTTTCTTAATAAAAACCCTCAAGAAAGTCAAGAAGGAAGGAACATACCTTAACATCATAAAAGCCATATATGAAAGGCCCACAGCTAACATCATCTTCATTTCCCCCTGAGATCAGGAACAGGACAGGGATGTCCACTCTCACCACCGTTGTTTAACATAGCATTGGGAGTCCTAGCCTCAGCCATCAGACAACCAAAGGAAATAAAAGGCATCCAAATTGACAAAAAGAAGTCAAACTTTCACTTTTCACAGATGACATGCTACTCTTCATGGAAAACCCAAATGACTTCACAAAAACGGATAGATCTGATACACAAATTCAGCAAGATTACAGGATATAAAATTAATGTACAGAAATCAGTTCTATTTCTATACACCAATAATGAAACCACAGAAAGAGATATCAAGGAATCGATCCCATTTACAATGGCACCAAGAACCATAAAATATCTAGGAATAAACCTAACCAAAGAGGTAAAAGATCTGTATGCTGAAAACTATAGAAAGTTTATGAAAGAAATTGAAGAAGACACAAAGAAATGAAAAACATTCCATGCTCATGGATTAGAAGAACAAATATTAAAATGTCAATACAACTCAAAGCAATCTATTACATTCAATGCAATCCCAATCAAAATAGCACAAGCATCCTTCTCAGAGCTAGAACAAACAATCCTAAAATTTGTATGGAACCAAAAAGACCCCGAATAGCCAAAGAAATGTTGGAAAAGGAAACCAAAGCTGGAGGCATCACAATCCTGGACTTCAGCCTGTACTACCAACGTGTAATCATCAAAGAGTATGCTACTGGCACAGAAACAGACACAGACAAATGGAATAGAATAGAGAACCCAGACTTGGACCCACAAATGTATGGCTAACTAATCTTTGACAAAGCAGGAAAGAGTGTCCAGTGGAAAAAAGACAGTATCTTTAGCAAATGGTGCTGGGAGGAATGGACAGCAACATGCTGAAGAATGAATCTGGACCCCCTTCTTACAGCATACACAAAAATAAATTCAAAATGGGTGAAAGACCAAAAGTGAGACAGGAAACCATCCAAATCCTAGAGGCGAAAATAGGCATCAACCTCTGTGACCTCGGCCGTAGTAACTTCCTACTTGACATGTCTCCGAAAGCACATGTCAAAGCAAAAATGAACTACTGGGACCTCATCAACATAAAGAGCTTCTGCACAGCAAAAGAAACAATCAACAAAGCTAAAAGGCAACCCACAGAATGGGAGAAGATATCTGCAAATGACATATTGGATAAAAGGTTAGTGTCCAAAATCTATAAAGAACTTACCTAATCCAATACCCCCAAAAAACAAATAATCCAGTGAAGACATGGGCAGAAGACATGAATAGACATTTTCCCAAAGAAGACCTCCAAATGGCCAACAGACACATGAAAAGATGCTCAACATCACTCATCATCAGGGAAATACAAATCAAAACCACACTGGGTACCACCTCACACTGGTCAGAGTGGCTAAAATTAACACCTCAGGAAACAATAGTTGTTGACGAGGATGGGGAGAAAGGGGAACCCTCTGGCATTGCTGGTGGGAATGCAAACTGGTGCAGCCACTCTGGAAACCAGTGCGGAGGTTCCTCAAAAAATTAAAAATAGAACTACCCTACGACACAGCAGTAGCACTGCTAAGAATTTATCCAAGGGATATAGGAATGCTGATTCATAGGGGCACATGTACCCCAATATTTATAGCAATGCTATCAAAAATGTTAGCCAAATTATAGAAAGAGCCCAGTGTCCATCAGCTGACGAATGCATTAAGAAGACGCGGTTTATATATACAACGGAATACTACTCGATGATGAAAAAGAATGAAATCATACCATTTGCAACAATGTGTATGGAACTGGAGGGTATTATGCTAAGCGAAATAAGTCAGTCAGAGAAAGACAGATATCGTATGTTTCCACTCATATGTGAAATTTGAGAAACTTAACGGAAGAATATGGGGGAAGGGAAGGGGAAAACAGAGACGGAGGGAGGCAAACCACTAGAGACTCTTAAATACAGAGAACAAACTGAGGGTTGATGGGGGTGAAGGGTTAGGGGGAACAGGGAAAATGGGTGATGGGCACTGAGGAGGGCACTTGTGGGGATGAGCAGTGGGCGTTGTGTATTAAGCGATGAATCACGGGAATCTACTCCCGAAGCCAAGAGTCCCCGGTATACCTTGTATGTTAGCTAATGTAAATATATAATGCACACACATCCTTGACTTGAGAAGTGAGTTTAGTTTTGATGTTTGGTCACATCCGTCCCCTGTTCATTGACTCAGTCACTAATTATTTCTTGAGCATCTCATCTGTGCCCAGCGCTGTTCTGTTCTATGAATAGTATAATTCTTTAGGCATTTGTTCCATTCCAAAGGGAACTTCCTGCAAAAAGTTAAGTAAAATAAACTGTAATATGTGACCAAGTTCAAGTTACTGTCTCAAAATCTTATTAAGCAAAGCTATAGTATAAACTCAAGTGTAGTGACATCTTTGATAATCTTCATTTCCCTAGTTAATAACATTAAGTTTCAAAATGTGGAAATATTTGTTTCCTTTCATCTAAAAATGTATACAATTTCCTACAGGGGAAATTAGAAGCACTAAGAATACTGATTCCCTTAGACTTTAGTGCCGTTTTATTTCACCCCTCAAAATAAAATCTCATCCAAAGAATTTCCCTCTTTCCAAACATTTCTTTCCAGACATCTTGGGCTTAATTGTATCTAAGAAGTATAACCGTGAGATCTCATGAATGGCCTGGACTCTGAAATCCAGATTTGTCATCTTAATTCTGTTCCTTGCTCTTTTGGGAGGAGAGTCTGTGTGAGACAGCAATCCCTTGAAGAAGAGATTTCCTGACTTGGAAGCAAAGACTGTTGTGGTGTCAGTTACCGGAACATTCGTTGAGACAACACCCTCGAGTGATGTGGTACTATGACATCAGCAGGTGTCTGGGATGGATGTGCCCAAATCCCCGGATGTATTCATCACAGGTGTTCTGGCACATTGAGGCAATGCTTTGGGAAAACATTCATGTTTCCCAAGTCAAAAGAGTCTTCATTCACTTTAGATTAGTAATTTCAGTCCCAGGAAAGCTTCCTTTGGAAACAATATTTCTAAAACCAAGTGATATGTTCATAAAGATGCATGATCCAGCTGTCGTCCGGGGCATTAATGTTCACGGAGCTCTGATTAACATTGATGAACTCCTCAGTTCCCAGCGGCATGGCCAAGACATTGGATTTGAAGGCCACACCCATGTTCTCATAGTCACCTCAGCCCTCGGGTCCTGGCTTCTGTGCACGTAGTCGTCACTAACACCACATCCACTCTGAAAGGAAACCCAGGTCTTCCTCACTCACACCACATGGACACACCCACACCCATGCATGTGCCTTTGAAAGCATCCGTGAGGGAGTGCAAGGGCAACTCCAGAGTCCGGAATGGCTGGGGGGGGCGGGCGCTGTAGGAAAGGGTCTACATCATGGCCACGTAACCAACTTTGGATTGACAATCGGGCATTCTGTTTTGAAAATATTCTTTGGCCATTCAAGAATTTCCTCTTGGGGCGCCTGGGTGGCTCAGTCGGTTAAGCAGACGACTTTGGCTCAGGTCATGATCTCGCGGTCCATGGGTTCGCGCCCCAGATCGGGCTCTGTGCTGACTGCCAGCTCAGAGCCTGGAACCTGCTTTGAATTCTTTGTCTCTCTCTCTCTCTCTCTCTGTCTCTGACCCTCCCCTACTCATGCTGCCTCTCTCTCTCTCTCTCTCTCTCTCTCTCTCTCTCAGAAATAAATAAAACATTAAAAAATTTTTTAAAGAATTTCCTTTCAACCCTTTTACTGTGTTTTTGTCCTCTCCCATCTGACTTCCCCATCCCCTCTCACCCGGGATTACACCTCCTCCCTGGCCTAGAAATGGCTCCCATTTCTGTTCGTTTCAGTTGTGACTCTGTGCGAATAAAGCCAACTGAGGCCAAGGTCTCACTCTTTTATTCAGCATCAATCGCCTCGCCCCTGATTCTCCTGACTCTTTCACTGTCTTCCCTCCCCGCCTCCCCCGTGCTCCCCATCACCCACATTCCTTCTCGATCCCAACTCAGCAACTCCTATGCCAGACTCGCCAGTGCAGGCCATCCCTGTGGTTTCCTCATCCGTCAGAACATCTGGCTTCACCCACGGGGTTCTGAATTTGCAGTATTGTGATGTGGACACAAGTCTGTTTATTCCCCCAGATGCATGAAACCTCTAGCTCTTGACTCGTTCAGAGAGAAGAGCGACCGTGATGGTGCAGGTCCACGGCTCTCGAGGTTGACGTTGAGGGTGGTGACCGGCTAGTGTGCAGCTATTCCTCATCCCACATAGACCGAGGTGAGTTGGTAATGACTTACTTACCAGCTGAGACCATGCTGGGCAGAGCTACCGAATTCAGTGCAAGTAGAAGGAGAAGGAAATCTTATGCCTCAAGATTCTCTTATAATTTTCTATCTTCTCTTCCAGGATTTTTCAGATTAAGATACACAGTTGCTTGCTTCAGCCGGGGCAATGTGAAGATATGTGGATGTGTTATTAAGGAACTGGAAGTAAATACTAAATGTTTGCAGTGAATGTTTGAAAAGCCTGATTAGTAGGTCTTCTCACTGAATGGCTAACAAACGTGGATATCCTCGCAGATCCACGCTCTTTCCTCATTAGATGTAAAATGGATTTTCTCTCTTTTTTAAGTTTACTTATTTGTTTTGAGAGAGAGAGAGAGAGAGAACATGCGCACATGAGCAGGGGAAGGGCAGAGAGAGAGGGAGAAAGAGAATCCCAAGCAGGCTTTGCATTGACAGCATAGAGCCAGACAGGGGCTGGAGCCCACGAGCCATGAGATCATAACCTGAGCTGAAATCAAGAGTCAGACACTCAACCGACAGAGCCACCCAGGTGCCCCTAAAATGGATTTTTTAAAGGCGATGGAAGTTATTCAAGCACAACAGCCTTGGGATAGAAACGTTCATCATCAAATTAGTCATGGGGCTAATAAAAGATTGAAAATACCCAAGAGAGAAGGGAACGGACATTCTGTTCCACGCCCCTCGGCAGGAGGCACACCCCTGCAGGTCTCTGGATGAGGCGTCAAGCGCGAGATCAGCCAGGAGTAAGGCCCCCCGCCAAGACTTTCCATGGAACCGTAGGGAACAACGACTAAAACCATCTGGTTGACAAACGCTGAAAGCAGAGGAGCCCATTGAAGGAAGAGAGATTCAGAGTCCAAAGCAGGATGAGAACAGATAGTGAAGGACCTTGAATACCAAGCTAAGGATTTGGGCTTGTTCCTGTGGCGGGTGGGAAGCCACGGGAGGCTCTGGGCCAGGTCTGGGGCGAACAGCCGTGTCTGGGGAAGATCACGTGGTCGCAGAGAGCGACCTGTCCTGTAGACAACAGACGGACAGGGAATGCAGGGATGCCTAGAACGTCAGAACTGGATGGCACAGTGTGGTCGTTTGGATCAGGTCCAGCTAGACACGTGAGGCCAGGGACCCCAGGGCTCAGTGGGCATGAGCTGGTTTGTGTGAGAGACAGGAATCCCTCAGGGGGAGATTGCATGCTTGATCCCCCGGATATGAAAAGATGAAGCCAGAGACTTGAGCCAGGAGATCTTCGTTCTCCAGCCTAACCCCAAGAACCAGGGGACAGGGCTGTGAGCAGATGAGCTGCTCCAGTGAGGACCTTTGCAGGGATCAGGGCTGGGCCAGCTGTCACCTGAGTCGCCGGGGACACAGGGGGAGCATGAGTCAGAAGGAGACTGCAGCTCCTCACCTACCTGGCCCAGAAGAGACCCCAGGTGATGTGGTTATATATTACATATATAATACATACATCCTCTCTGACGAAAGGAATACAAAATCACAATATAATCAGATGTGACAAGGAGTACTTCTTTTGCATAAAAAAATTACAAGAAATTACAATTGTTAAGTGACCAACAGACATCACACCATTCACAATAACAATGTTTTATTAATTACCTGACATGCCGATGTAAAGAGATTTTCTTTTTCCAGATATTTTGGCCACACGCTCTCAATAACTTTTAAATTTGTCAACACCTGATATCATTTTATACAGAAAGAAAAAAGGTAAGTTAGTCTTTGTCGTAACATGGCCGAACAGGATGAGGGTTTACAGACTGACAGTGTGGGAAAGGTTCAGCCTCACAAATCTTTACTGGTAACGTGATATAAATTTTTAGAAATGTTATCAAATTAAGGGACATTTCTATACAATTCACATCGAATAGGAGATGTAAGAAATGCTTGGGGGCATTCCAGAATATCTAGTCTATTAGCTACTGCTAAATATTTTCTGGATTGATGGCACTACTTCACAAGCTTGTCACCGATGTCCTCACTGGCGTGATGTATTATGAGGGTATGGTATCTTCACCGGTATTGGGATTTTGTACCAAACAGGGAGAAATTAGCAAGATTTCCCAGAGATGTGACGGTCAAGGCCTGTCAAGCCAAGGGAAGAGCATGAACAAAGACACAGTGAGGCAGGGACACAAATTTGCCGGGACAGGAAGCCGGCAGCAGCGGGGGACAGGACTATGGAGGTAGAAAGCCATGTTCCATGCTGGCATGTGGCTGAGACTCCTCATCCTTTAGGCTAAGAAATCAAAGACCTGGTTTTGAACCCAAGCCCAGGAGAGCCAATGCTAAGTTGATTATCATTTAAATGAGATAAACCAGGATCTGAGTCCTAAGTGCCAGTGACAAGCTGTGGACTTTGCTGAGAGTAATTGGACTCTCCGTGGAGTGACTTCGCTCTGTGCACGCATGGGTGGAGTACGTACAGAGCACACATATATGGTCTTGATGTCTGCTTCTTGGCGGACCCAGACTAACACAGTAAATATTTTATTCACATTTATTTTTTCCCTTTTTTTTTTTTTTTTTTGAGAGAGAGGGCAAGTAGGGGAGGAGAGGGAGAGGGAGAGAGCGAGGCTTAATCTCAAGACCCTGAGATCATGACCTGAGTCAACATCAAGAGTCGGACCCTTATCCGACTGAGCAACCTGGGTGTTCCTGTTTACATTTAGACGTTATAATTATCCATGCAATATTAACATTATCAAAAATTTGAAGACTGGAAAAAATACCAACACAATAGTGACACCAGCTAAGCATCACGGCCCACATCCCCACTGCCAGCTCTGAGTGATTTCTTACATTAGCGTATGAGGAGACAGGGGCTGCTGGCTTCCCTGTTTTACAAACGAGGAAACTGAGTCAGGGAGAGACTAAGAGATTAGCCCAGAGTCCCACAGCAGCTAAGTGGAGAAGCCGGAACTTGAACCAAGAAAGCAGGTGCTTTGCCCCCATACTGAGCCCCAGCGCTGCCGCTCTGCCTTCCGTGCATCCGTCCAGCAGCGACCTGCCTGGTCAGGCCTTCACCTGCTGTCTTTCCTTATTCTCATCTGCTGTGCCCTGTGTATATATGCCATGCACCTTACATAAGCTGTCGCCGCACCTTTTGGGCCACTTCCTTAGAAGTCCATTCTTTCTTATTGTATTTTCATGTGTTTCATTACCCCCAGTGGACCCCATCCTCAGAGAAAACAGAAGCTTCTCCATTAGGATCCAGAGCCCATTCCTCCCGGGCACATGCAGGTGCTCAATAAAACCTCGCTGAATGGTGTTATTCCTCATCAGACTGCATGTAAGATTTCATGCCCGGCTTTTGGGCCACGCCACGAATGTCACGCCACGAATACCTCCCGTGCTGCCACAGAGTCTTCGTGACGATGGATTTTCACGACCATGTTATAGATCATGACTACTAGACACTGACATCTAATTAACCATTCCACACTGAGCCATCCGGAGCTCCTGATTGTAAAAGGTAGTGTTCTAGAGGGTGATGTGAGGAGCAGTTCTATGCACACAAAATTCAAAATTATCTGCCAGCTCAGAGATGAGGCAGCCCCCCGCCCCCCCACCCAGTGAGTGTCTTCCTGCTTTGACCCAATGATGTCCCTTCCTCGGGGCCGCCCTCTGCTGATGGGCGGTGGGGAAGAAGGCATGTCACATCCTTTGCCAGCCAGCCCACACCTGCGCCCGTCTCTCTGCTGTCCCTCCAGGCAGTCAGCCCCACAGGCTCTGCCAGCCTCCCTGCCCGGAGGGCTTTGCTCTGCTGCACACCAGCCTCTCCCTCTGTCCCCCGAAGCACCCGGTGCAAGGCCACTCATGCTCATCACAAATGGCAGAGCCTCCCTGACCTAGAAATTCGTCTGAGTCCCTTATGCAGGGCACTGCTTACGGCTGCTGCTTTCCTGTTAGGTCCTGGCCTCTGCGGGGGGCTTCTAGACCTCCCCCTCCTCTCTCCTCCTGCTCCCTCCACCCCCGGTCAGCCTCCCCCTCCTACGTTACACACACACACACACACACACACACACACACCTCAGAATGCTTACAAGCCCACTTTTGCATTTTCCAAACTCACTAAGGAGCTGCAGAAAGTCAAGGGGCCTCAGCACTAGTCAGTTTTGACATCAGACCTGTCTTTATTGTGGGAAGCTTTAGAGGGAAGTTCCTGCCTCCCATGCCTGGACGCTTGCACCTCTATGTGGTGTCCGAGGTCCCCGTAGATGTCAGGCCACATAGCGAGCCCCAGGAAGGAAGCTGCACAGAGCACGATGCTATGGGCCGTGCATGCATGTGGCCTCAGCATGGCCGGAGAGAGCCTGGTGCACAGGGGGGCGTGAGACGTGGATCCTCAGAGTGGAAGCCACATAACTATTCCTCACATAGACCTTGTAAGGGTGGTGTTTGCAGGCACTTAGTTAAGCTGACCATTCACCAGGGAGCAAATGCAGCCTCCCTCCTCCTCACACTAGAAAGTGCTTATAACACAGTTAGAGCAACACAAAAAGTCCTCAGTGTGGTTGTGGGAGACCAATGGCCAACATTTATTGAATATTCTTGAGAAGCCCGGGGCTGTGCTAGTCGGCACCCCGCCTGCCCTATTTCCCTGAGCTGATGAGGACAGTGTCTGGTACATAGCCGTTCACTGATGGCATGAGTAACAGAATCCTCAGACCATGGACTGAGTTACTAGTACCATCTGCATCTTACAGACTGGGAAGTGGCGCTCTGAGAAGTTAAGGTCAAAGAGCTAGGGGCGCCTGGGTGGCTCAGTCGGTTGAGCGTCCGACTTCAGCTCAGGTCATGATCTCGTGGTTTGTGGGTTTGAGCCCTGCGTCGGGCTCTGTGCTGACTGCTAGCTCAGAGCCTGGAGCCTGTTTCTGATTCTGTGTCTCCCTCTCTTTCTGACCCTCTTCTGCTCACACTGTCTCTCTCTCTCTCTCTCATAAATAAATAAAA